AGCAAATACTCCTATAGTTGCATTATTTATACAGCAGAAATGAACACCCTGGAGTTTATACTTTCAGGTCTTTTTTATATGTATGTGTATTTTTTGTGGAACTAGAACTGTTTGCAGCCTTTCCCTTTGTTCAGTTTTAGATAATAAATGTTAAGCTACATTGTAACTTAGTGGCCGCAGAGCATTCTTCTGTATGAATGTACCATAATTTACTTAATCATTCCCTATTAGGTGGACATTTAGGTTGTTTCCAGTTTGGGGCTATTAAAAGAACACCATATTGGAATCTTTGTACATATCCTTGCTTTCCTTTAATAATATTTAGTTGGTAGAACCAAGACGTAGGATGATAGCGTGGTTTCTCACTATTTGTCAGGACCAGAGCTGGGACAGGCTAGGGATTTCACTAGGGTCCAGAACCCTGCAGGATCTTCTGAGTGCATTTTTCCGGGGTGGGGGTCTAACTTTCAGATTCTTGAAGTGGGTTGGCACCCAAAGTAGACCGAGAGCTGGTGTTGCAGTCCCACAGTGTCCTTGTTCATGGTGCCTCCCAAGGCCAGTGGCATAAGTCAGGAAGACAGCGTGGTCCTCAGGTATTTCTGAGTCAGCACTGGGGAAAGTACGGAGAAGGTTGTGAGGTAGTCCCTCTCCTCCGTGAGCTCGCCACATGTGTCAGGGTTTAGCCAGAAGGGTAGAAGGCAGCTGTGGGGGTCCTTTCTCTTGACTCTCCTCTGCCTGCAGGTATGAACCTACACCATTCATTTCTTCCAAGGCCTTCTGTGGTCTGCCTTGTCCAGCTCACCACCATCTCAGCGAGAATGACGGTGATGACGATGATGATGATGACGATGGAGAAACAGTGAGGAAGGCTGGACTTTCTCGGCTGCACGTTCTGTGCTAGGCCTATTCTCAGCCTATGAGAAACTGCTATTTATCACTTTCATTGAATAAACGAGGAACAGAGAAGTGAATTTACTTGCTCGGGATCACGCAAGGAGTGGCAGAGTCTGGATTTGAGCCCAGGCAGTTTGCTTCCGCAGCCTAGCCTCCTGACTGCCATGATGCCGTGCTTCCCACGCTCCTGTCCAGTTGGGCGTCCCGGTCAGTACTTCTGTGCTGCACGCCTTGCTTGCATTTCCCCACTTCCGGGACTTTGCTCAAACCAGTCCCTTTTCTAGAAGGCTGGGCTTTCTCTTCCCTTCTAGAAATTCTGCTCATCCTCTAGGAAGCTTTCTTCGTTCAGCCCAAGTGGAAGCAAAACTGTTTTTTTATTCTGGGTTGGTTGTACCTTGCCTGTGACAGTCGCGTCTGGCCTTGTGATGGACACTCTCTGCCCGGTGGAAAGAACGAACCTTTGGAGCAAGACAGACTTGAGTTCAAATCCCATCTTTATGCTTCTCTTACCCCCTTAACAGTCAGATTTCCTCTGTGAGGGAATAATACCTATCTTGCAGTTATTTGTGAGGATTAAATGAGATTGTTTAAAGTGTCTGGTATCCCGCCTAACCAATGTTGGGAGCGCAGGAGGTGACAGCAATGATTTCTTGTGGGCATATTTTATTTCTTCAGAGCATAGACTCCTGGAAGATGGGGGCCTTGTTTTGTTCTGGCTCCCAAATTAAGCTGGGGCCATCCTTGTAGTGTCTGGTCAGGATTTGAATGACAGTACTGATAGTTTTGTGCGGTTTGGATCTTACTCTTGGGCGCCCTTTGATTTGGTGTCCTCTGACTTTGTCTGACCCTCATGGTGGGGGTGGGAGGGAGGCGCCCCTGAGTTCTGAAGGGAAGGCTTCCAGGAGGAAAGGGTATTGGAGCTCAACCTTCCATATTGGAAGTTGTTGGGGAAGGGTATTTCAGGAGTGGTAATGGGGCATGCGGGGTATAATTAGCATGGTAGGCAGGCGATGAGAGGAAATGGAAGATCTTTCCTAAGTATCCCTGGAATCTGCCCTCTACATGGCCCCTTAGCTTCTTCTTATCTTTATACAGCAGTTCTTTACTGCCTCAAAGTGTGTCCCTGGTTATCTCCTCTAAATTGTCCCCAATGGTCCAGGCTGGCTCATGTTCGTTTCCTCTGCAGGCCCTCCCACGGTATCCCGGGCCACCCCTTGTCACAGCCCTGTAGTGTAATCATCTTTTGGGTCCCTCGTCCCCCTGCAGCTGTGAACTCACTGAGGGTAGGATCGCTCCTCGTTCGTCTCTGTACCCTCAGTGTTGGGCACAGGCGCCTGGGAGGAACTCTGTAAATGTGTTCTACAAATTACTAGTGGATGCAAAGGAAGGAACATTTGGGTCATGTAGGAGATGCCAGGCTGTGATATTTGAACTGGATTCTATACGGCTGGTGGATTTGGAATGATGGGGTACTGTTTCAAAAGAGACTTTTCCAAACAGAGGCAGTGTCCAGGATGGATCGGTGCAGGGAGGAGGGCGGGCCGGCCAGTTACAAGACTGTCCTGCATGATAGTTCTCTTGCTTGTTCCAGTATGGATTGGGTAATTAGATGTCTTTTTGTTTGAAAAGATGAAGCCCCCCCCCCACCCCCACTGCCACCTACTACACAGCGTTTTGGTGTAGCGGTAAGATTTGCCTGAAAGATGGGAGCAGTGCCTTCATGACATGTTTCCTAAGCTTTAGGAATAGCCTGACAGATGGTACCGTGTCACTTGTGCGAAGGCAGTTTCCACCACGGAATTCAATGCATCGCTTGTCATGATGGCCCTATGAGTCCCACACTAACAATTTGTCATTTGGCTTTAAAGAATTGTGTCGGGGATTGGGCAGAATATAATTGTTGTGGAGGCATTACAGACTCCTCACAGGATGTCCTATTTGAAGACTGGGAAACCCGGGCTTTGGATGGCCTCAGGGCACTTCCTTCTCTGGGCATGGATTTTGTTAGGAATTGAAGAGAGGTTTTTGTGATAGTTATAAGACGAATTTATGGTCAGGAGTCCCAGGGTACTTAAAGCGCGCCCCAGACCAGTGGTCCCCTACCCAGTGAAGTTGCTGAGGTGTGCATCTGTGTTCCTGAAGCAGGCTGGTATGGTGAGGCAGGAGGTGATGCTACTGTGTGCTTGGCTAGAACGTGTGGACTCCTAAGCCTGTGGGAGGGCTGGGCTGGGCAGATGGCCCATCCTCAGGGTCTGCGTATCAGCTGAATGTCAGGGAGCAGCCCTGTGCAGGTGCAAGACGGAAAGTGCTGGGCTGTTCTTCGAACAACAGTTGTGTCTGCCCATTCACGATGGTCTTGCGGCCTGGGACTTCCAGTCAGCGTCTTGGAAATTGACCCAGGCAGATGGCAATTTCCCCTCTTGACGAGGAGTGCAGAGGTCAGAGAGGTGGAGCCTGTCCACTGTGGTAGAGGCCTGTCACCCACTCCCTACCTTCTGGGGAACCAAAACGTCACTGCATTTTTGGTCAGGATGTAACCAAGAGGATCAAGACCTAAATTTGTGGTCGAGCTAGCTCTGGAGTGTCTCCAAATCCCTTGCTTAACTGGAGCATATAGTGAAATAGGTGATGGGATGTCGGAGGAGGAGAGGGGACATGTCAGACGTCTTGGATTTCCACTTCACCGCAAAATGGAGATCCTGACACCGTGCCAGTGTGATCGATGTGAGGCCAGAGGACATCGTTGGTGTCAGGGTGTCGTTCTTTGGGGCCTGGCACCTGATATCGGGGGACCCGTGTGACTCCTTCCCGGTGCCTGCCAGCGCCCTGCAGCGGCAGGTGACGTTCAAGGCCTGGGAGTGTCACACTGGCTCTCCATGCCCACGGTTGTCCTGCTGGGGTGTTGGGGGAGCCCTGATAGCAACACCCGCTGGCCCCGGGGAGCAGGCCGGTGGGGACCCCGAGGCACAAGGCAAACGCGTGAGTCTCCGGTGCTCTTTTCCTCTGCGCTGTGGTGTTCGAGAACGTTCCCTTTTAGGAGTAGTTTTGAAAAGGGAATGTGTGGGTGCAGTTTAATTATAGTCTCATTTTTCAAGTGCAGCTCTAGAAGGGTTTGTTTTTTTCTTTAGCCACGCGTTAGCTTCTTCAAAGAGCTCATCCCAGTCTGCAATTTCCAGAGTTCTGAAGTATTTTTAACATGAAGTTGTTAGTCTCTGTGAAGACTGGGCTCCTGTGTCGCCTTTCAAACAGCAGAGGCCGCCAGGCAGGGGAGAGCGGCGCCCCTTTTGCCCACTTACGTTCTGAGCTTTATTTTGTTTTCTTTTGCCATTTTTGTCGTCACTCCCCTGCCGCAGGCCCTGGCTTATTCAGCTGCACTCATACACCCCTCTCCCTGCTAATCCCACTTCTGAGAGTCTTTCCTAAGGAGATCATTTAAATGCAGATAACGCTGTATGTACAAAGGTGTTTATTTCATTTATTTATAAAAGTAAAAAATTGGAGATGACCTACATGTCGAATAGGGGACTGGCAGAAACTCTGGTCCATGCATGCCTGCGGTGGAATATTAATGCAGTCATTAAAAATTAGGTTTCCAAGGCAAATCCAGTAAGAAAAATGCTTACAATAAAATATGAAGGGAGAAGATGAGGCCACGGTACAGTGTCACCCATGCCAGAACGCATGGAAGAAAGAACGGAAGGAAATCCATAACGTGTCTGGAGTGGGGGCACCTGGAGGAGAGTGACGCTCTTTTTTTTGTTTCTGTTACCCATTTCCTGTAATGAACATATATTCTGTTAGTGTCAGAGTTTTTAGAGAAGGGAGAAGAACCTGCACCCAGCAGCGCCTTGGTGATTGGTTTTTAGATTCAGGGCTGTCCCCTCCCTCCTAGAACTGTGCCAGAGCGGTGATGAAGGAGGGGCCTCTAGTCTGAGTGTGTTCTTGGTAATCCTATTTTAAATATCCGGGATTGTTACAAAGAGTATTTAAACAAATGGAATGGGGCCTCTGCAAATGTATAAGCAAGAAATTATTAGGGAACACTTGTTTTATCATTTATTTATTTTTAATGTCTTCCTTCTTCTTGATGTTCTTTCTGCTTCCAGGAAAATCAGCTGAGGTGGACGTGAGCCCCGAGAACGAAGTGATGGAGAGGTGAGTGTGTGGCGCTGGGGAAGAACACTGTGTGGTCGGTTTGTCCGCTGGGTCTGCTGGCTCCCTCCTGTTCGCTTAGTTTCCCGCTTCTTGTGGGTAAAACACAAACACCTATGAAACTGACAGTGGCCACGTACAGCCAGGCGCTTACGCTGTGTGCCCTGCAGCCTTCATTCAGTTGTTCTGGGCCATTCCTGGCATCTGTCTGTTGGGTGCTTTGACGAGGACGACACGTTCCTTCTCTCGGCTCCTGGGTACCCGCAGGATCGATTTTGGATGCCTTAGCCTGACCTTTGAGGCCCTTCTCAGTCTGACCCATCTTCCTTTCTCTCATGTTCCCAGGCTTCCATCATTGACTTTTTATTGTTCTGCGGCCTGTGCCTGGACACAGGCTGTACGCTCGACTTCTTCCTGTTGTAGTTTGGAAACCCTTCTTCAGAGTTCGTTTATGTGGCAGTGAACCTGGCTCTCCGCTCTCCCCATCCCTCTTCTACATCCCAGGATCAGTTATTCTTCCCGTAGCACTTGGCACGTCGTCATATTACAGCACTTAGCACATGGCGTTGTAGTTCGCCCTGCATTTATCTTTCAGCTCCCAGAATTGCTCGAAAGAGGAAAGGGGCTAGCATGAACAGGGTATTGGTGTGTGTCAGCTGCTGCCCTAGGCATTCACGTTCATTCTTTCTGACCCTACCAGGCAAACACTATTGTTCCCATTTTAGGATGAGGAACCAGAGGGTCGGAGTTGCATGCTTGCCATTAAGAGGCAGAGCTGGGATTTGAACTTGAATCTGTCAGACTCCTGGGCTCTTTATTATTGTTGCATATTGCCTTTTGAGGACAAAGACTGTGTCTTGAATATCTCTACACCTGCTCTAGCCCCAGCTATCTGGCATGCAGTTGGAATTTAAAAAATGTTCATGGAATAAATGTGTTGTATACTTTCTTAGTTTGCCTCGATGGCCCACAGGAAATGTCAGGGTCTCGCCCCCTTCTGTTTCCTTGTTAAAGGTTCTGACTGTTGTGAGTGCTATGGGTATGTCCCTCCTCTTTGGAGCAGGGACCCTTTGGGCTTCTGGGGGTAAAATAAAGAAACAGAGACCAGAATTTTAGACTTTCTTGGCATCATGAAGGCCACAGCATCATTAGAGTGAGCAGGTGGGGACGCATCACAGCTCACCAGAGGATGTTTCCATCAGAACGTCTGTAACATTCAGAAGAAATACTCCTTTCCCACCGCAGTGTTTTTGCAGATCCCTCCCATTTCAAGCCCTCTGCTTCCATCCTTCCAGTAATGGATCACATCCCAGTGGCAGGCTGTGGAGAGGGCAAGCAAGGCCTCCCAGAGTGGAGACAGTCTTAACGGAGACCTAAAGGATGAGGGGCCTGGGGCAGGGATTGTCGCAGAGTGTCCGCGCACGAGGCAAGGGAGACATGGCCTGTGCGAGCTGGTGCAGGGAACTCGAGGGTCAAGGCTGGAGAGGCACGCGGGGCCACTGTGGGGCTGGCCCTCAGCTTTTCTGCTACAGGAAGAGGGGAGTCTTTGAAGGAGGATAAGCTGAGGCTGGACAAAATCAGATTTGCTGTTGTGAAAGACGACTGGGGTGGCTTGGAGGCAGGGAGCCTCTTTCAGCCCTCCTCAGCCATGTGTCACCCTTCCCATCTCTGACAGGCTGGTTCTTTTCCTTCTGTTCTGCCTTTTTCCGCTGTAGGCTTAGCGCTCACACGGGTCACTCCTAAGCTAATTAAATGGGTGCCCTTGGCCCATTCGGCACTTTGGCAAGGCAGCGGCAAGCCCGTGCATCCATCACGCTGTCTGAGTGAAGTTGCATCTGGTGTTTACCTGTTAATGAATGCGTTGCAGCTTCAGAGTCCTTTGCTCTTGTCTGAGTTCATGAATAATGAGACAAGAAGTAATAGGAAAAAGTAGGAGAAAAAAAGAGCTTAAATTAAGGAGCTTATCTATAATGGAGATTCATGTGGGCTTCTCTCACCGAGTTCAGGGTGTTTTTCCTCATGGCTCAGATGGCTCTTGGGAAATACAGGTTAATAACCAGATGATTGCCAGAATGGTGGCATTGGGACCTACTTGGGGGGCACGAGGGTTTCGAGATTTTTAAACCCATAAGGCCACTTCATGGGTTTGGGTTGGCCTACTACATTCTGCTGGGGGTCCCAGAGCCAGACAGACCTGGGTTCAAGCGTGAGCTCTGCCACATATAAGCTGTGAGACCGTGGGCAAGCTTGTGATGTGCCTCAGGCTCCCCAAGTCTGAAGGAGGATAGTCGTCTCTACCTCAGCGGGTCTCTGTGGGGACCCAGTAAGATGGTACATCTAACATGCCTGGTACAGAGGGGGCACCTGCTAAGCAGCCGCTGTTGACGCGTGCTCTCTCGGAGGGCCCTTCCCCATAAGTCAGACAGTGGCTCCCCCTTCGTCATTGGCTCCAGACTCAAGCCCACCGAGCACTTTTTGTTTTTAGAGTGTCCTTGCTAATAAAATGCTCTAGGGAAGCAAAAGGGCTCCAAAACAAAGTTGCAAATACGGGGAAGTTACAAAGGGCCTAGTAATCTTAAGTGATCCCAAGTCCTGGTCCTGGCTTGGGATCTTAGTGTGGGAAACGGTTTCTCTTTCAATCCTGACGGTGAAGGATGGAGGCAGACAGTGTAACCTACCAGCACATTCTCCCTGAGTCTCCTGAGCCGTCTGCATCTCACGTGTTGTCCGACTGCGAAATGTCCGAGAAGTCTTCCGTCCTCTCGAGAGACCAGAAGCAAGACAGTGAGACTGGGAAGACCTCGGTCTTGGCGAACCATTTCTCTCAAGGTAAGCTAAGCTTTGCTAAGCATTTGAGACACAGCCAAGGTTTCCTGGTCTAAACAGTAATTTGCCGTCTTGCCTGAGTAAGCAGAGCGTAGTGACATTTGAATATTCGTCTGATGAAGGGAGATCCTGGTAGGGCTGGTCACTCAGACTATCATTTGTCACTGGGGAAGGTTGTGGTTGTTGAAAGTGTTGCTGATTGGGGAAGAGTCATTTTTATTTCTTAATGATGACTTATGGGGCACCTGGGTGGCTTAGTCGTTAAGCATCTGCCTTTGGCTCAGGTCATGATCCCAGGGTCCTGGGATCGAGCCCCACATCGGGCTCCCTGCTCGGTGGGAAGCCTGCTTCTCCCTCTCCCGCTCCCCCTGCTTGTGTTCCCTCTCTTGCTGTGTCTCTCTCTGCCAAATAAATAAATAAAATCTTAAAAAAAACATGATGACATATTATGTGACCTGCCACTTCCTTGCTCTCCTAACAGTGGCAGAAGCCAGGCTGGCAAGCACCGAGGTTATGTGTCCGTTCTAAGTCTGGTTAATTTCCTGTTGTTCCTTTCAGACCCTTGCTGAGGCTGTGTCACTTTGAAGACCCTTGCTTTGAATTGTACAGATGCCCCAGAATACCTGACTACCCTCCCTCCACCCGAACCCCCATTGGGATATTTTGTAATTCTAGCAATCTGCAGTGTTTCCCTTTAGTGTGTGACCCTTCGTCCACTGGGTCAGCCCCTCATCCTGCCTCTGACCGTGGGCCATGGGCTCAGTTGGCAGAATCAGCCTCCCAAGCCTCCACCTGCCCCTGAGCTCTCCTTTACCTCTCTGTATTTGCAGTCTTGGTTACCTCCTGTTGGGGGATTAGGGATTAGGGATTAGGCATTAGAGTTTATAAATCAATGTATTTCAGAAGTTCAAGGGATAGTATAGACCAGGGATTGGCAAATTTTTCCTAGGAAAGGGCAGATAGTAAATATTTTGGGCTTTGTGGAGCATATGGTCTTTGTTGTAATTACTCAGTCCTGTTGTTGTAGCAGAAAGCAGCCATAGACAAAATGTAAATGAACGAGTGTGGCTCTGTTCCAATAAAAATTTATTTACCAAAACAGGTGGGTGGGTTTGACCCAGGAGCTGTGGCTTTCTGACCCCTGGTATAGATTTTGGACCTTAGCTGACATCCTCTGGTCTCTCCTTTCTTCCGGTGGTTGTTTGCAGGGTACCCAGAATGGACCCAGAGCACAAATCAGACCCTGGCACCTCCTTTCTAAAAGCTTTTTGTTGACACCTGATCACATAGAACTGTGGGTTTCAAAAATTCACAATCTTTTTTGGCAACAAACTGCCCTCCCCCCCTTTGTTTCAGCTGAACTTTACATGGAGGCCCAATATGTAACAGAGATACGGGTGAGACTTGGTCCTCCACGATGGCTCCTGAGGCTCCTCTGGGGTACTTATTATTTCTGGCTCTTTGATCTGCCTTCTCCTAATTTGGGTCAGACCCATGAGTTGCTTCCCTGTCTTTAGCTGCACTTCCTTCTGCACTGTTTCAGCCTGGCAAGGAACTCAATCCATTTCCAAGAACCCCTGAGACTGTTTTTGTGGGAGGAACACCCTTGATTGAGGGCTTGAGGAATTACAAGGGGGTGAGGGTTACAGTGCAGCAAGCGAGATCATTTAATGGGAATACTTGAGACCCTTGTTCTTTATTTAAAACCCTTCGGCTATGGTATGGGCACCTCGCTCCAGATTCCTCTTGCCAGCCCCTCTTTTTTCTACCTTCCCACGTCTGCCTCCCCAGCCGTGGTTTATTTCCAATATAGAACCTTTTAGGCATCTCCTTATGTCTTGTGATTCTGGGGACGCATGACCTTGGGCTTGTCATGCCCTCCTAGTGCATTAGCAGGCACTTTCCTGAAGGGGGACAATACCCTCCGGAGCCATCCCAATAAGCCCACTGTTAGCTCTTTTGGTTTGCTTCTCTTCAGGCTTTTGGTCTCTGCATCTGGTTTTTTTCCTTTTGTCATGTTTATATTCTAAGTAGAGACATAATTTAGTATTTTTCCTTTTTGTGCTTGACATTCTATCATAAGCTTTCTGACATGTTGTTACATACCATCATTTTTAGTGGCTTTAGAATAGTCCGTTGAATGGCTGAACTGCAGTTTTCCTTATGTTCCTCTTTTGCTGAACATTTAAGTCATTTCTAAAATTTCACAATTGTGAACACTGCCGCAGGGATTATCTTTGAACATGAAGCTTTCCCCTTATTTCGGCGCATTTTCTTAACCTAGATTCTGTAGTGGAGCTACTAGGCCAAAGAGACACACACAGTTTTTGCTGGTTGCTTCTTGCAGGATTTATGGTTTTAAAGAGTTAGCATTTGTCTGAAGGATATTTATTAGAAGAGGGACAGATATTTTTCTCCCATTTTGTAAAGACGAGTCTAGTGTTTCCTTCTCCTTGGTTGGGGCTGCATAATTAATAAGTGGCATCCAGTTCAACTGGGAATGTTTCCTTAAGCCCTATTGATGAGTCCAGCTCCTGGCCAGACTCAGTAGGAGGTGATGTGTACCAATGACTGCTAAGTGTTATTACCCCAGAAGCTGGCAGCGTGTGATGTGGATATAAACCAGCAAGGAGGACTGCGGTCAGAAGAGCTAAGTTCCTGCCTCACTCCGTCCTGACTAGCGGCTGGAAGATTCTCAGGGCAGCAGGGCAGGGACAGGAGGTGTGGCCAGGAGTTTGCTGCAGACGGGGTCCTCTAGCGCCGGGCCGGCCGCCGGGGCCTCACGCATCCCACCAAATGACTCGCTACACTTCTGGCATTAATAGGAGATAGCTGAAGTTCTGGGAATTAAGTCATCTTATAAACATTCAGATTCATGGCAGAATTACTATTTAATTAGGAAAAGATCTGTAACATTGTGCTACTTTTAAATGAAAGTCATTTTGGAGGAATTAAAACTGGGTCATAACATTAGTATAATGTTTTAAAACAAACATTACTAAGACATACTGAGTGTACTGTAATTGATGAATTAAAGACATTAGTTTTGCCTTTGGATACTTGATGTGGTTATGCTTTAAACACTGATTCTAGAAACCTACCTCCAGATTGCAACTGTGCTTCCTTCTTTCTTTGTTAAAGTGAGATGTGGCAGTGGCTGAAAAAATACGACATGCTCATTGTAGAAAATTTGGGAAATTTAAGTTTTTATATATTACTAAATGTTACATTGAAATAGACTACGGAAGTTTTGAAAAACCTGAAATCTACTACCCAAAGGCAACTGCTGTTAATATCTAGGGGTGGATTTTCTTATTTTGTATTTATGTGTCTTTCTCGCCTGCAGGTTTTTAAATGGAGTTATAATTATCCTGAATAATCCATTTTGTGTCTGTATTTTTCCGTGATATTACATGGTCTTCATAATACAATTTCAGTAGCTGTAGAATACTGCATCACAGTAATGTAATGTAATACAGTTTATTTAATAATTTGAGTTATGTTCAGTTTTTACCATTCTGTAATAGTGCTTCAGATGAACATTTTCATGCATTCTGGCAAATGGTTGGTTGTCAGCATCTCTGGTGATCTCTTTGAGTAGATTCCTAGAAGTAGAATTATTTGAGGAAAGACGTTGGAAAAGAAACTTTCTAAGGCTGATGATAAAAATAGATCCCAAAAGTCACGCACATTTATATTCACACGAACAGGATGTGCTCTGGAGAGTACACCCTTCTTACCATTTTCACTAGCGCTGGGATTACTGTTTTGCTGTGTTTTTAAGTCTTAAATGAGTACATGATAAATGGATAAACATATTCCTTTCAAAGAAATATCTGGATTCATTATGAAAGTGGTTTAATCCACTCTCGGGCAATTCAAGCAGACTTGAAAGTGATCTGTTAAGTTTCACTATAAGGAAGATTTTAAGTTAATATTTGATATTTAGAAGAATAAAGGGCTGCATTAGAGTTAGCATTAGAGTTAGTATGGAATATAATTTTTCCATGTGATGTAGAACACCCTGCCCGTGGAGGGCTGCAGAGAACCATTACAGAACTGTGTCAGTGGGCTGTGGGCAGTCGCTCAGCCTCACCAAGCCCAGGAAAGCGTTGCCAGTTACCGACCATCTGAATACATCCAGCACGACTTGGAATTTTAAGATCCTTGCATAATCTGTAAATTATTCAATTTGTTGGGGGCTTCAGACTTTAAATTAAAAATAACTCTCCCTCCTGTAGACTTAGTAATGGAACATATACAAGAGATCCGAAGTTTGAGGAGACGTTTAGAAGAATCTATTAAGACAAATGAGAACCTTCGGGGACAGCTGGAACGGCAAGGGTCTGAACTCGATCCAGGTAAGGGAGAGCCGCCCCAGAGGCCTGTTGGATGCCTGCGAGGGCTTCATCTGGGGCTCATTTGCCTGGATCAGCATGCCCTGGGTTGGGGTGAGCTTCACACTCACTGGTGGCCAGAGAGGTTTCAGCCCGGATCCTGACCTTGCCGCTTACCTCCACAGTGACCTCCCTTAACACTGCCGACTATCAGTTACAGTAACTTATTTATAAAGTGGGGATAATCATCCTCGTTTTATCCTGTGGCGATGAGCGTTAAGTGAGCTGACTGGAGCAGAGTGGCCCCCACAGTCCCTGGCACTGAAGGAGTCTGCTGGCCTCTGCACCCTGGATTGTGGCTGGCTCCTCCTCTGATTTTGGTCACTGGAAAGAAATAGAGAGGTATTTTAAAATAAAACGGAGTGGTATTTCATCTTTTTGTCAGTAATGGATCTTAAACGTATTAGCATGTGAGCAGTTTGGTGAGTCTCAGAGGCCGGCGACAAGGTTGCCAGTTCCCCTGCATAAAAACAGTTAGGTCTGAATGGAATATGTATTTTTCTCATAGGGAAGACATTCACATGGTGCAAAGCTTACTATCTCCATTCTATACCCATTCATCTTGCTCTCCCTTCTCTCCTCCCACCTTTGTTAGTTGTTTTCCACACCTTACTAGTGCTTTTTCAATGCAAATACAAATGTATGTGCTTATTCTCTCCCTCACCCAAAAGCTAGAATACTTTATATCTGCCGTTCTGTCCCTTTTTTTGTTGAACAATATATTTTGGACATCTTTCCTTATTGCTCCAAAGAGATTGTTTTCATTCCACAACGAATGTGTCTTTTTTTTTTTAAAAAAGATTTTATTTATTTATTTGAGAGAGAGAGCGCATGAGAGAGGGGAGGGTCAGAGGGAGAAGCAGACTCCCTGCTGAGCAGGGAGCCCAATGTGGGACTCGATCCAGGGACTCCAGGATCATGACCTTAACCTGAGCTGAAGGCAGTCGCTTAAGCACCTGAGCCACCCAGGCGCCCCTCAAAGAATGTGTCTTGAGAGCAGCTTTGTGCCCCAGGAAAAGCCCGAGTTTGTTAGGGCGTTGCACTGAGCTGGGTGTGGACCCCAGCTCTTCTGTTTATTAGCTTTGGGACTTTTGGACAAGTCACCCCGCCTCTCCCAGACTTAATTATTTTATAAAACAGAGCCAATAGTGAGATTCAGTGAGGCAGTTCTCTGAATAGGGCCTTGCTCCATGCCTCACTCCGTAAGTGGTTGTTTTCTTTGTCATTATCATGTTATTTTACTCTTTTATTTTTTATAACATTATTAGTTTAATGTTGCAAAGCTCTGCAACAAGTGGGGACGCAGACCTTTTTTAGAGACAAAATAACTGAGTTCTAGAAAGATATACTCAGTGGCGGCAGCACTTGAGTCCTTGCACCCCTGGTCCGGTTCTCACTCCTGTCTAGTCCAGCATAACCCTCTGCCTAGAAAGAGCTTTTCCAAAGCGCTGTATGTGCTGCTGTGCTGCAGTCGACGAGGTGAACAGAGTGGATGCACGCCTCCCTCCCTCCCTCCCGCCCTCTCTCTCTCTCTCCACCCCCTTTCCCCATCCTGCTTCCTCCCTCTCTCTCACCCCCAGGGAAATTGATTAACCTGAGTTATTAGTCATATCCAACCCAGGGAAGAAATACATGCCTGGGCCCTTCACGTTCACTCGTGGTAATGCCTGAATTAGATTCATTCTGTTTTACATTTTTCCTGGCAAATCCAATTATAGAATTATTTGGGGGCTCCAGTGGCCCACCAGCTACAATGGAGCTGGTAATTGCTCTGGAGAGTAATTCACTCCGATGGGAAGGTTTACAAAAAGGCATTCATGAAGTATTTACACTGGTGGAAAGACATGCTGTTCTCACCATGTTGTCACAATCTCTAGAAAGACAAAGGAATAAAAGTGGCCCCGCCTCCCCCCTGCTGTGAGGTGTTCATCTTGGGAGCAGGCCTGAAAAAGGCATGGCTCCTTGTGATGCGGAGGCAGGATATTGTTAAAAACTGTCACCTTGTGTGTTAACTTGTCATCAGGTAGAGGAGCAGGTAGTGTCGGCCTTCAGACGAGATCCCGCCAGCTGAGGCTCCATCATGCTCTGTCCTTGCGGCTGACTCTGCCTCTGAGAAGTGGCCACCCCAGCTGTGGTCAGAGCAGACGTCTTCTGTAGCATTGTTCCTGTTCACCCAGATGGCGCTTTGGTCCTGTTTTTGGCTCTAGCCCACCACCAGTTATGATATTAATACAAATGATAATAGCAGTAATAATAACAACATGGATCATTTTTATTGGGCTAGTGGAGACTTAGGGAAGTGACGCGGCGAGCCTGAGGTCATACAGCTATTAAGAAGCCGGAGCCACGATTCAGACCCAGGTGTCTTCGAGATGACACCAGAGTTCATAGGGGAGACTAGAGGAGATTGGCAGGGAGAGACACATGTCAGTGAAAAATTACACGGCGCTGTGATTTGTGAATCATTAATATGAGGAAGGGTGGTGCTGTAGAGCGGAGAGAGTGTGCAGCGTTGGCTTCTGGGAGGCCTGACATCCCACTGTCCTTACGGTGAGTTTGATTATTACCGGTAATCAATTGCGTACCAGGATGCTTTCAGCTGCAGACAACAGAATACGAGTAAAAACTGGTGTAAACAATGGGGATTTATGTTTTCTTACGTAACAAGATATCCAGACGCAGGCGGTTCCAAGGCAGGTTTACTGGCTCGGTGATCGGGTAGCAGGGCTTGGGGTCAGTCTCCATGATGACCGTGGTAATTGTAAGCATCACATCCTCTCAGGACAGTGTCCACAGCATGGGAACGAAGATGATGGAGCTCCTCCATGTCCTTCTCTTTTCATCTGGGTGAGAAATCTTTCCCAGAAGCCTCCAGCAGGCTTCCCATCAGGTCTCATTGACTGGAAGGGGCAGCTGGCCATGTTCTAGCTGTACAAGAGTCTGGGAAAGCAGTGTCTGGCTCTGCGGTGTAGTAAGGAAGGCAGGGAGGGAAGCATCTGCCTGCCCCATGTAGAAAGCCCCAGGCTTTCCAGAGGGTAGCATGTTCTTGTGCTTTGGATGTCATCTATGGTGCAGGCATAGAAAGCTGAGGGGGAGTGTCAGGGCAGCTGTCTGGCCAGAGGAAGGGGTAGGATTTTAGGAGATAGACCACAGCCTGGGCTAAACTGATCAGAGTTTGTAAATAATCTCAAACCCAGTCTGTCTGGCTTCAGCCCCTGATCTTTTTAGTAAACACTTAGACTAGACAGTGACCTTGAGCTAAGAGTTGAAAGACGAGTTTGGTTTTGACAGGTGAAGGAGCTGGGCATTCTAGGCACAGGGAATAAAGACCTCACTGTACAAAGTCAGGGAGATGTGTGACCGCACAATGTGTGGGGCACAGGCATAGCCCTGTCCGGCTGCATTCGAGGACACTAGAGTAGAGGGTGGAGAAGGGAGGGGGTTGTGCATGAGATTGGAGTGAAGTCATAGAGACCTGAAGTTTGGGCCTTGTGTTTGGTTTGTTCGATTGTCTGTCTGTACGGTGGAGGGCTGGCCGTCTAGTGTTTCTGAGCAGAGAATATCATGAGCGGACTGTGTGCAGCCCCAGGGGTCGAGTAGCAGGGAGGCAAGGTCAGGGCGCACTGATGAGGTCTGAACTACAGGGACAGAAAAAGAGTGAGTCAGTGTCTGAGGCATTTGGGAGGAAGAACCAGCAGTCACGATTGCCTGGTTGGGCAGTGTTGAGGATGGCTCCAGGTTTCAGCTCGGAGTAGGCGTGGTAGAGATACCATCTGCAGGGGAGCGCAGAAACGAACCTGTTCACCTCTGTTCACCCTCAGGAGGAAAGAATGGGCAGGGAGGGGCTCTTGCCACCTCTTTCATGCTCACTCTCATTTCCCTTTGGGCTCTGGTGATACCTCATCTGGTTCACAGGAGTGATTTCCATTGAATGTTGTGTCTCCTCGTTGTTTAAAACTGTTTTCTAGAAAGTTCCATCCCTACTGATCTGGTGACCATAAATCACTATTTATGTATGTTTTTATAGGTTCTACAAATGCTTTTCCTTATGGATCAGAGCTGCATAATTCTCTGACATCAGAGATCTCTTTCCTGAGGAAGCAGAACCAGGCTCTCAATACGATGCTGGCCAAGGGATCCAGAGGTAGGAACTAAAGGAGCCACCTGCAGGCTGGACCCCCACAGCCCTCTGTGGCATGGAAAGAACGCATTGGTTCAACCCAGGTTCAAATTCTGTGGCTCTGTGACTTTGGGCAGGTCACTTAACCTCTCTGAACCTCAGTATTCTTAGCTATAAAATAGGAGTACATCATGGGGCTGTTGTGACAGCCTGTGAAGCCCTCAGCACGGCATCTCTAACATCTCTAATAAGTACACAGGTTACAGTGGAAGACAGAAAGGCTGGAAATCTATTACTGCCAAAATCTCACCCAGAGATTCCCTCTTATCAGGAAGGTTTCTCCAGTATTTCTTAGGAAGATTCCTTCTCTTAATTGTTTCTTTTTGGAGCTTAGCCCCCGAAGAAGAGCTTTCACCTATGTTATCTCTCAGTACTTAAAATGTTTCTGGATGGAGGAATTACTAGTCCTGTTTTACAGATAAGAACCTGAGGCCTAGGGAATTGACCCGCCGGTGGTCCCGGAGCTGGAAGTCTGTAGAGCTAGGAGTTGGGCCAGCTTCTCCCATTCTCCCTGGAGGATATTGATGCTGCTTTTGGCTTAAGAGACAGAATCGAGGCTTTTGCAGATCATTCATTCACTCAGCAAATGTGTCAGGGCCTGCGTAGACTGATACAGAAATGAGTGGGTCCTGGTCCCTTCCCTCGAGGGGCTCATGGTCTGACGGGAGAAACAGCCAGGGAACCCATGGCAGGCCAGCGTGAGGATCAGCCAGGACAAAGGCAGGCTCGGGGAGCATAGGACCCTGGGGCTGGTGTCTTGACGCAGGAGAGGCTCGGCTTCAAGAGCTCAGTCCAGCAGGCTAAGTAGGGATTAGCCACGGTGCCTAAGGTTCAGAAGAGCCAGGGCCTTTTTAAATAGAAGAAAGAGAGCAGACAAAAGCCTAGGTGTTAGAGGCGGGGAGAGTATAGACTAGTCAGGAATTGCAGGGAGCATAGTGTGGCTGGAGTCTGAGGGAGGAAGGGAACACTTGCTCAGAAATCATCATGCCATGGTGAAAGGTGGTTTCAGAAAAGCTGGGTCTCAATCTTGGCTCTGGCACTGTTTGGCTCTGTGACCTTGGGGAAGTTTTCACCTCTGCCATCCTTTGTTTCCGATCTGGAAAATGGGGAGAAAAAGCGTACCTACTCAGAGGTTTGCTCCAAAGAAGAAATAAGATGATACCTGTGCAGGTCTTAGTGTAAGGCCTGCAGTCAGAGCTGCGGACGTGGTAGCCACCATCAGGGGCCCAGCGACGAGCTGGCCTGGGGAGTGCTTAGACCCTTCAGAGCACCCGTGCAGCCTGGCGCTAAGCCCTTTACGTGGACTATCTCAGTTCATCCTCACAATGACGCATGTGGGGGAACTGAGGCACAGAGAAGTCAAGAAACTCCATTGAGGTTTTGGCACCAGTGCGCAGCAAAGTGCACTTGAACACGCCTCTCTGCCCCCAGGTCACGCTCCTAACTGCCTATCTCCAGACCCTGAGCGTATTTTATTCCTCAGGAGAGGTGCTGTCGTCCCGGCCTGAGGAGTGGATGGGCCCAGCCCTGCTGGCCTCCTTACTGGGGGGCTTGCAGACTTCCCTCACACCCATTGCCAGAGTTTGGGGCTGTTTCTTGCCTCTGTCTATAATTTATACCCACTGTTTGCTCTGCGAAGGCAAAGTAACTAGGTTTGCACGGCCCATTATTGTATAGAAAATTAAACAGGCCCATTTCATCTCAGTGACGTTTAATCTGCAGCCTTGATGTTGACAGATTTATCTGCCCAAAATGCATAAGATAATTGGAATGCCAAAATCATAAATGCCAGATTAAATCTCATTCTGCTTTGTATTCCTGGAGTGCTCGAGCTGAAGTGCCGTATTTGTGTAATAAGGTTGGAAAAAACAAATGGTGTCTCTTCTCAGTGGTGCTTTTTTGTGTTTGCAGATAAACAGAAGGAGAATGAAAAGTTACGAGAGTCCCTCTCCAGGAAGGCTGCGAACCTGGAGCTCCTTCAGCGAGAGTATGCCCGTGTGAAGGGGGAAAATGAGAGGCTGCGGAGAGAGGTCTGCGAGCAGGAGGGGCGCAACCAGCAGCTGCTCCAGGAGGTGTGCCGCAGCCGCAGTGAGCTGAGCGGGTAGGGCTCAGGGACCCCCCGGCCCTGCTGGCCGTGCCAGGCAACCAGTCCCAGAGCGGGGCGCGCTGGCCCCTCCCTGCCCAAGCGCCGGGGAGGCCAGCAAGTGCTGGGGCATGTGATGTCAGGCGGGAATCCAGCACGTGGAGCAGAATCGCCTAAGGGAGGAGGCTGGGGCCTGGGCGGCAGAGCGCTGGTTTCTTGTCCAGGGGAGGTCAGGGAAGGCCTCTCTGGAAAAAATGGCATTTGAGCTGCACCCTGAAGGCGGTGAAGGGGCCTGAGCTCTGCAGATCGCAGGAGGTGGGGGGGAGCTCATTTGCTGCAGAAAGGGTGGGGGCCCTGGGGTGGGGTGTCCTTGTCCTGCGCAGTGCAGAGCAGGGAGGCTAGTGCACCTGGAGGGAAGAGGGGCAGAGAGATGCCTGGATGCCCAGTCCCGCAGGCCCTCGCAGCCGTGAGAGGGACTCTGCTTTCACTGCCTGGGGAGGCCGTGGGGAGGTTCTGCGCTGAGGGCGGGAGGCCCACTTAGACATTAAAGGACCCGTACCGAGTGCCCCTGGTGCAGTTTGCCCTCGCCCCTGTCCTGTCCCACGCGTTTCCCGTTGTTCCTCGGCGCTCGCTCGTGAGTGCCCCGCTCTTTCAGAGTTACCGAAGTCACCCTCGGTCACCCTCGGTCACCCAGGGTGGTGCGCTGACGTAGCAAGATCCTCGTCTTAGGCCCCTCCCGCACTCTCCACCCCTGGCTAAGCCGGAACCTTGTAAGCTTGGCTTCCTGGTGTCCGTGGGCTCAGGGGCAGATAGCACGCACCCGTCGGGTGGCCGAGAAGACCGCACGGGGTAGATAGTGCCCGTACAGGGCTGGGCCCTGTCAGAATTAACGTCTCCTCCCTGTGGCCGTGCGGCCTTTCCAGGGTGCAGGAGGAGGCGAAGCTGAGGCAGCAGCTGCTCTCCCAGAACGACGAGCTCCTGCAGTCCCTCCGAGTGGAGCTGAAGGTGTATCAGAGGCTGGAGGAGGAGCACAGGAGGCCGAGAGGTACTGGGCGCGCTGGCCCGAGGCGCTTCCCGTCCTGGGGCTGCTGCGTCTGGGCCGGGAGCTCACTTCAACACTCTTTCCTGAAATGCTGTTGTCACAGCCCTCGCTGGCCTGCCGGGCGGAGGGGGCACACTTTGCAGCAAGCCCTCTGGCCCGTTCTTCTTCTGAAGCAGCGAGAACCACGGAAAGACTTGGGCTCGGGAGCTGGGCCAGCCGAGGCCTGGATTCTCGTGCCCTGCCTCCCGGCTGTGCGACCTTCAGCAGGTCACCTCACCCCTCTGGGCCTGGTTCTTCCTCCATAAAACGTGTCTCCTAATAGCTAGTCTGTAGAGTTGTGAAAATTGAGCTCATTTATGAAAAGCATCCTACCACGGTTCGTGGGACATAGCAGACAGTCAAGGAATAATTTGATTATGAGTTTTCCACTAGAGTGGGTTTCTTTTTGCCCATGCATTCGGCCAATAATTCTGGAGCGCCTGCCACATATAGGGCATTGCTGTGGAGATGGTTGTTGGCCCGGATCCTCTGACAGATACCAGATCAGAGCAACTTAACTGCAAACTCCTGTGTTTTAGAATCAATTTTGAGGTGTGGTGGCAATTTTTTTAAACAAATTTTCCAGGTGGTTTCTCCCTATTGAAAGTTTATCTAGAAAAGGGTCACCTCACACCTTCCATTTTCTCCTCACGTTGCTTTTCTTATTCTTGCTGTTGTGCCTTTTTAATATACTGTGGCTCTTAAAATCAGCCCCTTTCATTCTATAATTCCAGCCCAAATAGATTTTATTACTACTAGACATAATTTCGGGGTTTGGTGTGCAATTTGCTAGGCTTTTATGGCCAGAAGCGAAAATTAATTTCCAGCTCTTATTTAGCCTGTGGAATAGCAGCAATTAAGTCTGCCAGTATTTTTGTTTTTAAAGTCAAGTTGTTATTTTAAATTGTACCTAGTTCTTAGGAAGGGGAGGGTGGTGGTGCTGGCGGGTTTAAAACACTGTTGAGCTCCTTTGATGATTGACCCTTTGGTGGCGGAAGACGTCAGGTTTTTCCTTTGCACTCATTTGCAGAGGCCGGAGCAGAGGCGTCAGGAGAAGGCTGGAGGGGGCAGGACCCTTTCAGTGACCTGCGTGGTCTCCTAACAGAGATTCAGGCTCTGCGGGGGCAGCTGGAAAAGAGCATCGAGACCAACAGCACACTGCAGAGCAAGCTGGAGGAGCGGCTGACGATGGAGGGGAAGAAGGCTCAGGAAGCAGCCCTCCCCGTGGCTCTCCAAACCCTGTCCGTCCCCCAGTGGCCCCCACGGCTGGACAAGCACGGTACTGTCCCTGTGCCTCCTCACAGAGATTGCCGCCCTGTGTGTGTCGGCGGGACACGGGAGCTTCTGGCGGGTGCCCTTGCCCCACGGAGGTGTCCCTCTGTTGACAGCCCGCCACCCGATGCCCCGGGAGCCAGGGGTGATCTCCGTCTGGGGGCCTCTTGGTGGAGGGAAGTGGAGTTTGGGTTGTCAACGCTCTCATCACCTCCAGTCTCGTCCGTGCATCCGTTCAGCCCTGCCCGTAGCACTCCGCTGCTGACAGTGCTTTTTAGTCCCCTACTGCCTTTCAAAGAGAATCTAAACATCTTCCTCGCTCTCAGTGTCTGTAGGATCCTAAAAGCATCCTGGTTTGAAAACTGCTTCTGTTTTACATTTGTTCGCGGGTGTATGGTCTAGCCCTACAGAGACTGTGTAGGGTCGCAGAGAAAGGACAAGGGTTGCCTGTCACTCCTCTGTCACTTGCCCAGCAGCAGGCCAGGAATAAGCCAGCAAATGGTCAGGTTCAAGGCAGTCAGCCGGCCCATCCTCTTTGGTCTGTGGATGGAGGAACTAAGACCCAGATTGGGTACTGGACTTAACCAAAGCAACACAGCAAACAGGTGGCAGAGCCGGAGCTAGGAATGGGTTTTTAGCTCCCAAGGCCAGTGCTGTCCCCGGAGCAGCACCTGACCTTGCGGAGCCTCAGGTGTCTGGGGCCATCATCCTAAGACCCACAGGGCGGGTGCGCACATCCAGTGGGACAGGGAGTGTCGACATACTTCATAAACAAGTATCGTCTAAAAGCTTGGACTTAATCTTTTCTAGGATTGGGAATTCTGTCTATTGCCTTCAATTTAAAAAAATTAAAATCTCTTAAAGATCACCCAGTCAGCATGCTTTAGAACTTGTGGTGATTGGTTTATTGCTCTCTCTTTGATAAGGAATTTAAAATTTTCACCAGAAGATGATGTGATGATATGAAAAAAAGAAAGTGAAAAAAAATCCTTCACGATTGTACAGAATGATGATATTTTGCTTTGCATATTTCTCTTCATTTGGCGATCACACGCAGGCATGAACTTACGTTGTTCACGTTGGGTTTTGTGCCTTTCTGCGTCCTTTCTTTGTTTTCACCCAATATTACATCATAAGTGTTTCTCACCCTTTCACACGGGCTTCCTGATTACTGTTTTCAGATGATCCTCGGTCACGAAACCATTACTGTGGTGATTATTAAAGTGGTCTCTGATTTGGAGCTTTAATAAATGTCAATGTTAATGTGGTTTTTGCTGTTAAACAGCATTCTCAGGATAAAAATCCTACCAGCGGACTCTCAAAACAGTTAGAAAGGAGCCATATTGCCGCCTTCTGCATGGAATGGCCATCAGCAGTGGGTATCTCTGCTTTAAACACAGGTCTGCTCCTGGCCCTTCTTAGCGCTTGGCGGAGATGGGACCGACGGGTCTGTGGGGTGCGCTGGGGAGGTGGGGCCGGGAGGATGATTCAGGGCCGGGGCTGCCCGGGAGGGAGAGCTGGGGCAGCTGAAGTGAGGCGGCCGTGGAACAGCCTTTGCCTGCTTCTGGAATTTGTCTAGGGTCAGCCGTGGGTGAGCCTCGCAGGAGGCACTCAGGAGAATGTGTTCAGAATCCACAGGGCTGCCTCAGTGCCAAAGTGTCCTCCAGTGAAGGTGGGAATTCTGCCGTCGGCAGCGGCCTCTCTTCCTCTGCAGAAGTCTTTGCAAGATTGTATTTAGTGCACTTGTTCGAAAGTTCTGCTCTAAAGATGGCTGGTTTTGGCAGAAAGTGATCCTTCTCAGGGGCCAGCTCCTTGGCCCCGGAATCGAACGTGGCGCTTTGGTGGTGCCCAGAGGTGCCTGGGCGGGAAGGAGCTGGCGGGCCGTCCTAAGGCCTGGACACTGGGCACAGTCCTTGCTCTGCCGCCGACACTCTGCGGGTGCTGGGTCGGTCACTTCCTCTCCCTGCTCCTCCACGAGGTCTGAATGACAGTGCCGTCCCGCCCGCTGGGCTCCAGAGAGTCAGACGGCCCAGCGCTCTCTCGATTGCATGGTATGGCAGGTCATCTTGGACAGCATCTAACTGGCTTTGCCTCCTGATGTTGTTTCCATTGCATCACTTCCTAAACTCTGCTTTGGGTCCCTCTTCTCTCTTTTTCGGGTGGCTGCAGCAACCTGCACACTCACTCCTCCAGTCCAGAGCACAGTCCTCAGCTCGGCGTTGCCCTGCCTGACGCCCCCGGGAGGGGCCCACAGCCCTCATGGTTCTGGCCTCGCGTCCCACCGCGGCTCTCCCTGGCACCCTGGGCTCAGCCCACCACCTGCTTGGCCCTCCCTCAGTGCGTCCTGCTGGCTCACTCCTCTCTGCCTTTGCATCTGCTCGTTCCTGTGCCTGCTTTATGTTCCCTCCTCTGGGCTTCCCTCCCTTAGTCCTGACCACCTAGAAATGAAACTGTCTGTTTACTTGCTGGACAGGAGGGTCCTTCCAGAGAGGACGCTGGGCCTGCTCACTCTCTGTCCCCAGGGTTCTGCAGAGGGGATCCCAGCCCCAGGGAAGATTTGAGTGGATGCTTGTGCGTGTTTGGTACTCTACTGTATTCTCACTCAGTTCTTTCTCAAATGCTAATGACAGTTTCTTTTCCTTCTCTTATTTTGCATCTTGTAGGTGGTGACAGATGTCCCATGGCGATAGATAATTCCTGTGATCTCTTTGATTCCACCCTGGTGGTGCCACCACGATCAGGTACAAAGCTGAAGTCTGGGTAACTGTGGCGGGGTTGGGTTTGGCAGTAGGACTTTTTCAATTGAATGAAAGGGGGTCCCTGGTCCCAATCAGGAGAGCGTTTGTCAGGATTTGGGGCTTCAGCATGTCTAGCTGATGAGCTTCTCCCCCACGCCTGTTCATCTGTTCCTCGGTGTTACTAACCTCAGCAATGTCATTGGGTCCTTGTGGCCTTAGATGGAAGTATGAGCACCTTAGTGTGGCTTTAAGGCCTCCAGCATCCAGCCCCAGTGGGCCCATCCAGCCCTGTCTGTCTGCATTCGTGTGGCCATGCAGAGGGGTCCCCATCCTGCAGACGGGCCCCGTACTCCCCTCTCGCTGGGACCGTGTGTTGTGGCTCCGTCCTTTTCCAGGCCACCTTTGTCCCGTACTCTGCCATGCAAATCCTCCTCCTACCCCGAGGCTCATCCTGAATGCAGACTTCTTTGTGAAATGACTTTTCTGAGGCCCCCAGTCAGAATTATTCATCTGAACTTTTGTTGATCCAAAGGTAAAAAGCAACAGGCTTTACCTCTGTTTAGTGTAATTTTTGCTTCTTGTTCAACCCAGCTCAGTTGTTGCTTCTCTTAGGAAGCCTTTCCTGATCTCTCTTCCTGCTGCACAGGGAACTGATTATTTCTTCCTCTGAGCTCTGGCTCTTCGTCATCGTGCTGTTACGCCTCCGGCGTGGTGTCTGATTAGACCATGGGCTCCTGGAGTGCAGGCACTGGCTTGATTCAGTCTGTGTAGATCAGGGCTCTTTGCAGAGTGGGTGCCGGATAAGTGTTGGTTGAATTGAATCGAGCTTCTCCCATCAGACGAATAAGCCCGGGGCGGGGTGGGGGGTGAATAGACAGACGAAGGTCCGGGAGCCAGGCCACTTGCCCCCGCTGTGCTGTGCCGGGTGGCATTTGGGACCGAAGGCCTTTCTCTGCCCTCCCACCTGGCTTTAGCGTCGTTGAACGCGGCTCGATGAACACAGGATACTGCCCCAAATGGATCTGACATCTTCCCTCTCATGTTGTAGCTTCAGAGACTCCTCCACTCTCTGGAAATGACATGGACTCCCTCTCCTGCAACAGTGGCAGCTCGGTCACCAGCATCCCATGTGTGTCCCACCTGGTCGCTGGCCACCGCCCGTGGGCCCACACGAGTGGCGGCCATGTCCTGGGCCTGGCTGGGGACTATGAGGCCCTGTGCCGGCAGATTGGCCAGGGCCAGAAGCTTTTGGCCGAGATGGCCCTTCAGATCCAAGAGGCTCCCCGGCCCGCAAGTCCAGAGCTGGGAACCAAGGTAACCTGACCGACTGCTGGAGGGAGTGAAGTGCTCACTGGAGCAGTAAGTGCAAGGGGCCGCCTGAGGGCTCTGAGAGGCAAAGGATGCATGCATCCTCCGTAAGGCCCTGAGAAGGGGGACCAGGAAATGGAGCCCACGAAAGCTCAGAGGTCAGGTCCAGTCTGGGGCACTGATCTATGGGAGGGACCCTTGTCGAGGTTTGTACCCTGTGTTAGCGCGATCTCTTCCCTGGGGTCACTCTTTCCTGCCTCGTCCTGCTGGATCCTCCTCACTCTAAAGTACCTTTTGTTGAGGACCCGTGTGCCAGGTGCTTGACACAAAGTTACTCATTCACTTCCTCCAGGGGTTAGGGTCACATTTTCTCTGTCCTCCCAGACTAGGCCCAACCACCAAGCTTCCGTGGGTCATGTTTTCTGGTCCCTCTTCTCAGGTCCTGAGGCCCCTGCTTCCTGGTACCTGATTTGCCTTTTTGTTTTATTTTGTTTTACTCTATTGTAAAAGTCATTCTGTATTTTACATTTCACTAGATAATAAACTTCAGGAGAGCAGGGATAGTGTCTCTTTTACTCAACGTTGTCTCTTTACTACCTAGTACAGGGCCTGGCGTGCAGCGGGTGCATGGTAAATGTTTGTTGAATGAATTCATAAATGTTAATAAGATTACTGTTGTTTTCTGATCATAATCTTTATTGTACAAAAGCATAAGAACATCACAGGGTGTTCAGTGCTTAAAATGTTGATACACACACACACACACACACACACTCTTTTAGCTCATTCATAAAGTTTAGTAAAACTGACTCACATGAATTTTGTATTTTGACTCTCAGTTAATATATAAACAATTTTCCTATCCCATTCAGCATTTTTCTAGAACTTTTAGGGGCTGGAAAATAAGCCAACATGTGGAGGTAGCACCATTTATTTATTCTTTGCCCTGTTTTTTCGACATGTGAGGTGTGGTGAGCACCCTTGTACACAGACCTCCCGTGGCATCTTTGATTAGTTCATTAGGGATGGATTGCTGACAGTGAAGGCAGCTCACTCCCAGGCTGTGAACCCTTCAGGGCCCTTGGGGAGAACTGTTGATGCGTTACTTCCAAAAATACGTATCCCCATTTACAAGTGAGAGTATCTCACTGCACCTTATTCTTCATTGACTAATTTTTTTTATTGTTTTATGTATGGTTTTTTGCCAATTTGATAGCTAAAGAGTGCATCATTTTATTTTGTAGTGATTTTATTCCTCGTGATAACAGTGCTCTTTTAATTTCTTTTCTTTTTAAAATGTGTTTTGTTTTCCCTTCTTTGGCTCATGTCCTTGGCTTTCTCTTGCCCTTGACATCCCCCAATTAGGGTTTGCCTCTGTCAGCAGAGGGTGAGGGAGACTTGACGAGGCCTCGACTTCATATTGGCAGTACACAGCGCCGTTTAGCAGGGGCTTCTTAAGACAGAAGCATTCGTGTTTCGTCCCTTGCTGTTGGCACCGTCTGCCTTCCGGAGAGGCTCCGTGGTGCAGAGCCATGTGAGTGGCCCTACCATGGACCCTCTTTCCCTCTTCTTGGCGTAGTAAATACAGTTAACGCAGGTGGTTATTAATCATGGTTATTGATTGGGCTAAAATCACCACTGAAATTCTCTCATAATCTATAATTCACCAGTCTTTAAGAACAATAAATTGGTGTCGTCTGGCACCAGGCTCTCGCTCAGCATGTGGACACAAGCCCTGCGGTCTGGAGATTTATGCTGCCCATTAAAGCCGGCTTGTCCATAATCTTTTTCAATTGCATGTAACAACCTTCTCCCCTCCCCCACCCCCCGCCCCTTGCACAGGGTCCACACTTGGCACCTCTGAACAAGTTTGTCACCAGCGTGGGCACAGCCAAGCTGATCCTCGAGGAGGCTGCGAGATTATTGATGCTCTTCTGGAGGGTCTCACTCCCCACAACTGGCCAGTGCCCACTTCAGTGTGAACAGGTAGGTGGTGACACATGGATCCCGAGGCTTAGGGATGCCACTGGGGCTTGTGACTCGGTCTCCAGCCCAGGACCTTGCTTGTGGCCGGTGTGCCCTCAGTTTGGGGAACACGTCAGAGGACGGGGGAGGTGCCGTGTTTGTTAAGGGTGACGTGTCAGGCACTGTGTTGGCTGCTTCAGGTGTGATCTTGCCTGCTCCCCCAGCATCCCCGTGGGCTCGGCCTGTGGTCCTGACCTGACCATGTCCCCACTCCCAGTGTGTCTTTGTGGAGGGAAATCCTGTCTGCGTCTTACACAGGGGAAGCTGAGGGTCTGGGAGTGAGGCCCGACCAAGGTTACAGAGATGGTTTTGGCAGCACAAGTATCTGAATCCAAAGGGTCTGCTTTCATTTTGTAGATTTTAAGTCCTAGTTTGTCCTCGTGGACTAGCTCATTCCCTTCCACTCTAAATCTCTTTCATTTTAGGTGCCTTTCTCTGGACTCTCTGATTCCTTTTGATAGCTTTCAGAGTCAGATTGTAGGGATTCTAGTTTCAATCTGTTTTAACTCCTTCGAAAGTTTTTTTTTTTTAACCAATGAAAATCATTTATTGCAAAACCATTGAAATTTCCCTCGAAAGCTTGACTTTGCGGCAACTTGAACGTGGCCGAATTAAGAATGGTTGGTCCCACAACCATCCTCATGCCCATCTTCCATGGCACAAACCAGGAGTCAGGCAGTGCGGAGGCCCTCCCTGGGTTCTCGTCGGTGGGAAACAGCTGGTATCGTGATATGGCGAGCTACCGCTCTGGCCGTCCGAGGAGCCTCCTGGAAGGAAGAGCGTGCAGATGAAGGAGGAGTTAGAACTTTGCTTGGTGCTCTGATAGATATTTACCCCTGCATTTATCTAACCTATCAGTTTTTGCCAAAGGTCAGCAGAAAGGCAGAGGGAAATTGGCATTCCATGTCGTTACTCATCTAGTTAAATCCCTTCTGACAGGTGTCAGATCTGTCAGCTGTGGCAAAGAGGCAGCAGTGAAGCCTCGGAAGGTTCTAATGAGCCTGTCCTGTGATTTCCCTCCTGGGATCCTGGGGAAGGAAGTTTGGGTACACTAAGCTCGGGGAGGTAGGTAACCAGTCATTTCGCAGGGAAATCATGTTTTGACCACTTTTAGCCAGTGGGGCCATGGGGAGGAAGAGGGCCCGCTGGGCCCAGACCCACATTGGCCTCGCGTTTTGTGCTCACCCACCGAGCTCCTTCCATCTCTGGCTCGGTGATGCAGATGCTCCGACTGCCTGCCTGCCCGGGCTCCCCCTCTTGGCTGCCTGGCGGCTTCACATCTTTCCTGTCTCAGCTTCCATCTTACGTCAGGGTCTGAGGGGGCTCCCCGGTCACTCAGTCATAGCACCCTCTTCTGCTTCATCATAGCCCTCGTCGCAAATTATATATTTGTTTGTTTAATGTCTGTGTTCCAGAAGGGGCCATGTTTATTCTGTTCATATTTTTGAGTGAATAATTTTTTTCTCCTATTGCCAAACGAGTCCTTTTCCGTATGATTTTTTAAAGCACATAAAATGTGCTGAATGAACCTCGATGCAGTGTTTTTGTCCTCAGTACACAGTAGTGTCTGTTAAATAGACAGAAGGAATGTAGATCTTCTTGTGTGTTGTGTGTGTGTGTGTGTGTGTAAAATATAAATTATAGTCACATCGATCCCCCCCCCCGCCAGCAAACTAGTCCAGGGACTGGCCAGCGCTTGTGATGACTCACCCTTCTTTCCAAGCGTTTCTCATATAATTGGTTATGCTGACTTTAGCATCATAGAATTTTAGAGCCAGAAAAAGGACCTTAGAGTTGCTCTGATATGGTTGCTTGTGCACACAGACCCCCCGTGTGGTGTTAAATTGCCTCAAGCCACTTTTCTGTCCCTGCCTCTGTTTCATACAGTGCCTTTTTCTTAGTGTGAAATGTGTGTAAAGCAGATTTCCAAGTTTTTGCCAACAACCCCAGTGGTTTTTGTTGTTTTTTTTTCAACCTAGGGTTTTCTCTGAGTGTCATTAATTTGCCTTTTGCATTTGATATACCATCCCCTGCAGTCCCTAGGACTACTCTGGAAAGTGTGTATCATATACATCGGTTTATCTAAGAAGGTTGTGGGGAGAGATACAAATATATACACATATTTGCTTATAAAAATTTTGTTTAACTGGAAGTATAAACAATAACAAGGGAACAGGCTACTTTTGTAGGGGTGGGAAGGAAGAGGAGGAAAGGGCAGGAATAGAGGTAGATATCTCTGAAAAGATCTGGTTTTGTAAATTTGACATTGAAACTGTATAAATGCTTTAAATAATTGAAAATAAATCAAAATGGAAAAACAGCAATTTCTTAAAATTGGTAGTAAGATGAACAAACCTTACTCTATATGTAAGTATGTAGTATTGAAGGCATACCCAACAAAGAGGGAACATTTCAAGACTAAAACACAGTATTTTGACTGTATCCCTAGTAGAAATACTCTAAGGGCAAAAAAGGACTGAAAAAAAAAATGTTTTCAGTGATGATACTGTTAATAGTAATATTGGTACTGATATTTAAAAACTGTTATATTTGTATTGTAGGATAAAACAAATAGCTAATTAGGTTAAGATTTTTACTGCCAGAGAAGAAATATAAATTTAAAAACAAAGAAGCAAAAATCCTGCCATCCTTGATTTGAAAATGCCAGTATGAACTTGTGTTATATTTCTTATTAAAAACATTTACTTTTAGGCCTTAAAAATGTCCACTCCAGTACCAGTGAGCACCTCTACTGCCAAATTGTGGTTTCTAAATACCTTTTCCCACTAACAGGAACCAGCACTCCTTGGAGAAGTGGTTTGATTCTAGCTCTGGGGCAGGAAATGTACAATATGAGCTTAGAACATCTTTTCATCCTACGGGAAAAGAGGGGAAAGGGGGAGTAAAACAGATTTACAGCTGTTCTCAAATTATGGTCCCTGGGCCAGCAACATCAGTGTCATCTGGAAACTTGTTGGAAAGGCAAATTGTGGGGCCTCACCCCAGATCTACTGAATCAGAAAGTCTGGGAGTGGGCCCCAGGGGTCTGTTTTTACAAGTCTTCTTAGTAGCCCTGAGAACCACTGGATTGAAAGAAACTTGAGACGTATCAACTGCAAAACATGGAGTTTATTTGGATGCCGATGAATTGGACCAGTTGTTCCAAAAAATGAAATTATGATGGGCTCAGGGAAATGTGTCTCCTGACGTACATGGTGATACTAAGCAATTATTATTTTTTTAAATAATTTTTTATTTAAATTCAATTAATTAACATATAATGTATTATTTGTTTCAGGGGTACAGGTCTGTGATCCATCAGTCTTACACAACACCCAGCGCTCACCACAACATATACCCTCCCCAGTGTCCATCACCCAGTTACCTCATCCCCCCACCTCCTCCCCTCCAGCAACCCTCAGTTTGTTTCCTATGATTAAGAGTCTCTTATGGTTTGTCTCCCTCCCTGGTTTCGTCTTGTTTCATTTTTTCCCTCTCTTCCCCTATGATTTTCTGCCTTGTTTCCTAAATTCCACATATCAGTGAGATCATATGATAATTGTGTTTCACTGACTGACTTATTTCACTTAGCATAATACCCTCTAGTTCCATCCACATCATTGCAAATGGCAAGATTTCTTTTTTTGATGGCTGCGTAATATTCCATTGTATATATACACCACATCTTCTTTTATTGTTGTTGTTCTAGGTGTGGTGACAATGTTGTTTTTCTTTCTAAAGAATCTTTTTTCTAAAACTATATATGAAATATTTTATGGACATGAAATATGATTGCCTTCTGAGGTTGAGTTTAAAAATGTTTTTAGTGTGTGGGTGGGTAGGGATGTAGATGAAGCAGGTTTGGCTATTATTTGATAATCGCTGAAGCTGGCAGTTCATTATCCCATTCTTTCTACTTTTGTGAAGGTTTGAGGTTTTTCATTATAAAAAAGAAAAAAACAATTAAAAAAGCCAGCTCTGGGAGTCAGGCCCAACACTCGTGAGTCAGCGGGTGGCCTCCTGGGAGGGGCGTGGGTCCCAACTCTGAGCTGGGCTCTGTGGCCTGAAGGAAGAGCTGCTCTGTTGAGCTCTCCTAGGGGGCAGGCACTCTGCCCTACACGCAGCATCTCCTTTCATCCCTTATGGGAGCCTCCAGAGAGGTCGGTATTATGTTACCGTTTTCCAGACGTGAGAACTGAAATTCCTTGCTTTGTCGTCATCACAGCTGGAAGGGACCGAGCTGGGTCTTCTAGCCCTGTTGTTTTTACCATGGCGCATTCATCCTGTAAAAATGAAGATTTTAGTTCAGAGGAATAGCAGACATGCAGAATTAAAATTCCTTGTTTTAAGTTCTGGACAGAAGATGGACAGGATGTTTTGGGAGTGCAGGTGAAAATTTAACCTACCAGTTGGCAAAGGGTCTCACAGCACCAACTCTGTGCCAGGTGCTGGGGGTCAGAAGGAAGAATTGAGTCTTGGGAGAAGAAGCAAACAAATAAATGATCAGTTAAATTCAACATGAAATGGGCAATGACGAGGGAAGGACTGGGCGTAGTGAGTATCCAAAGGAGCAGTAACCAACCTAGACTTCTGCTGGGGAGGAGTCTCAAGGAAGGCTTCCTAGAGGAGGTGTTGCCCAAGCTAACTTTTGAAAGAGGACTAGAGGTTAGCCAGGCAGGGATGAGGGAACCATGGTCCGTCCTCAGGCATCATCCCCTTTGCCTCTCACTCTAGATGGATGGGGCCAGGGATTATCCCAGTTCTACAGCCGTGGAGAATGACTCTGTCCCAGAATGTGTGGTCTAGGAAGCCATGACCTGACACAAATCTTTGTGGGCTCTTAGCGTGAGGAAGAGAATCAGAGAAAACCTGGGGTTTAAATTAGGATCTGTTTTGGAAGAACAGTTGACATCCTTGTAGCTGACACAGTTGGTTAATCTTGAAAGTAGGTTAAAGCAGGGAATCAAGAGATGATACATACCTTAAACATCGTAGTTTAACTGAAAACAGTTAAATGTACATTCATTTGCCATTCTTTTGATGTAGGGCCAGGACCTTTCCTTTGAATGTAGGTCTGCTGATGAGGATTTCACATCTCCTTTCTTTCATAAACCACATCCATAATGTATGTCTGTCACTTCCAATTTCTGTATCTTTAAGATGAAGAAAAAATGTAGACACTTGTAAAGCAACTTGAATGTAGAATTCTTCTAGACTACGTTCCTCCCACATCTTTCATAGTTGATTCACCCACACCTAATTTGCCAGAAATGTGGTTTTTAGTGACTTGCCTTTATCAAGTCTTTCCTGAGACATATGTTAGTTTTCACACAACCAATTCTAATTCTCTCTTTTCATATACACATTTCATGGGTTTACTTAATAATTAAATCCCATAACTGATTACAAGTACAACTGCCATAAACAAGTTTGGGAACAAAGTTAAGTGGGGTCCCTTGTAAGTTGGCAGCCCGATGTCTCCCCTCTGGGGAGCAGAGGTGTTTCCCCGTCGCAGAGGGTGGCCTGTGCCAGCACGCCTTACGCGGTGGGGGTGGGGGGTGCTGGAGGGGGGAGGTTGACGAGAAAGGAGTGTCCTTAACTCTGTGAACCAGCTCAGCGAAGACTGCTTAAGAGAGCCTGTAGGGTGTGCACATTTCACATTAGAGGTCTGGGAACTCTGGCTGCCAATGGGTGGGAAGCCAGAGTTCCCCACACCTCTCAAAGATGAAAACTCTCCTGAGGATCATACTCTCCTAATCATACTTTTATATTCTCTTTTTAAAATTTATCATTAAAATTTTTTGTTTTAATGAGCATTATAGTTATTATTGAAAAAAAAACACCTCAAACAATTCTGATAAATTTTTGAAAATGAAAAATAAAACTTCCAAATCACATCTCTCAGAGATAAATCACTATGAACATTTTGATGTTGTCTCTTTGTTCATCACATTTTTTAGACATCACATAGACGTCTATGGATATAAATCTATGTATTCAATTTTATGAAACAGGAATGCCTGGTATACAATAGCAGTTCTGGGCTCTTTTTGTCACTAATTATGATCTTTCAACATCAATAAATAGAGTTCTACAAGATTTTCTTTTAAGATTTTATTTCTTTGTGAGAGAGAGGGGGAGGGAGAGAGCACAAGCGGGGGGAGGGGCAGAGGGTGAAGGACAAGCAGATTCCCTACTGAGCAGGGAGCCTGATGTGGGACTCTATCCCAGGACCCCCAAGATCATGACCTGAGCCAAAGGCAGCCTCTTAACCGACTGAGCCACCCAGGCGCCCCTACAACATCATTTTTAATAGCTGCAAAGTTATGCCATTGTATATGAGTACCATGATTTACTTACGCAGACCCCTGTTGAAACAAACCAGGTTGTTTATTGGCTCCTACTATGAACAATGCTGAGATGAACATCCAGGAACATAGGTATCTTCTTGTGCTTATGTGCTTATTGGTGGGGGTACATGCCTAAGTATAGACTTTCTGGATCAAAGGGTTAAGCGCATTTTACGTTTGGTAAATCTTGCCAGGGCGTTCCACCCGGACTGTGCCAACTTGCAGTCCCACTAGTGCTCCCGAGAGTGCTCCCCCACACCCTGGCCCCACTGGATTTTGCCTGGTTTTGCCAATCTGACCAGCAGAAAATGGCTTCTAGTTTTCATTCAAATATTGCTGTTAGTAGGTTGAGCATCTTTTTGTATGTGTTTTAATTCTTAACCTATGTGTTAGGATGTTTTGTATTCTTTGTTCATTTTTCCAATTCCTTTTCTTTCGAGACTGGAGAAATGAAGGCAGAGATCACCAAACTACACAAAAAGCTGTTTGAACAAGAAAAGAAGTTGCAAAACTCTGTGAAGCTTTTGCAGCTGAGCAAGCACCAGGAAAAAATCATCTTTGATCAGTGTAAGTGAGCGGTTGGGGGCGGGCCGCTGTGTCTGACCACTTCATGCCTCTGAGGACTAAAAACCCCATCCTGGACACCCACTTAGGATTCCAGATCACCTGTCATCATGCCTCCTATTTATGGGTTTCCTTTCATACTTCGTCCTTTCTGACCTGCACAGACAAATAAATTCACTTAACAGACCTCAGTGGAGAGGCCACGTGCTGCCAGCGACTGTCATCTCTTTGGGGAGACAGGTGCATGGCATGTGCTTTGATAGGAACGTGTGTGGGGTAGGGCCTTAGGCAACACCGAGTGGGGAGAGGGGAGTGGGGAGGGCGTCATTCTGTCCTGGAACGTCGGCTTCTTGGACACACAGACAGCTAAGCTGAGTCTGCAGGAAGGAGCAGGTGTGGGTCAGATGGAAAGGGGGCAACGTGGACAAAGGCGGAGTGGTAAGAAAGAAGGTGTTGGATGTGCGAAGCCTATGCCAGTTCACGTGGCTGCAGTAAGACTGCAGGTGGCAGGTTGAGGCTGGAGGGGTCGCTGGGACTGCGACTGCGACTGCCTCGTGAAAGGCCTCAGGGCGCAGGCCCCGGGCAGGTCTCCTGCAGGGCAGAGCACGGACCTGTTGCTATGTGTGCGGGAAAGGCTTGCTGGTGACTGCTGCCCTGGTCCGGGCAGGCCAGAAGGAGGGCCTCGACCGGGCCGTGAAGATCCAGGGGGAGGGGGTGGTTTTGAGAAATACTTCTCAGGGCAGATAGAGAAACTCAGGCTAAATACCATTTGTAACGTCACTGCTTGTCCTGATCCAGGAGCTTCGGAGATGGTGGGGAACAGCTCCCTGTCCCCAGTAGAACCCCACAGCATGGGTGCACCGCCGAGCTTCTGCCGGTGCCTGTGGGCATCACAGCCCTGGCCCAGCCTCGCTGTCTGCCTGTCCCTGTCCCTGTTCTGGGAGGGCTGCTGACTGGTGCTTTCCTCTGGAGCTACCTGCCCGCTCCGTGCCGTGCTCTTCTCCAAGGCCAGTGTCGCTGGGGCATTTCTGAGAAGCACAGAACATAGATTGTTGTTGGGTAGGAGTTCTTAGCTACCCCCCAAGGAGCCTTCTGAAACAGACCCCGTGACACTGGCAGAGTTGGAAGTGCGGAAGAAAGATGCTCAGTCGTGGGGCAGGTGCTAACTTTGTTCTCCGTGCCCCCGTGCCAGGCTTCTGGGCACAGAGGTGAACGAGACAGTTCCTGCCAGCAGAGAGCTTTGGCTTAATGGGGCAGAAGCAAAAGTTACCTGCAGGGCAGCGTGTCCCCAGCAGCCTCAGGTGGTTCAGGGCTCTGGAATGATGGGGTCTTGAGGGATGAGTAGGAATTAGAGAAGGGGTAGGGACAGGATTATGGCAGGTGGCCTCAAGGGTGGGAACTCAGTATTCAGGAACATACTTAGGATATGCCAAGGGATTTGCTCTGAGGGACAAAGCGAAAGAGCTGAGTAGGGGCCGGGTCCCAAGGGGCCTGTGGACGGACTCAAGAATGAGTGGCAGGAGTCAACGTGGTCCATCGAGTCTTAGAAGGTCCTTGTGGCTGAGCAGTGGGCGGGGGGGCGGTGGGCAGGAGGCAGAGAGACCTCTTTGGGGGCTATGGCGGTCCCCCTGATGACAGCAGGGAGGCCTGGCAGGGCTGCAGCAGGGCCATGGAGGGGAGGGGATGGTTTTGGCAGATTGTCAGGAGGCAACCCTGGCTGAGTGGTGGCTGTTGCGGGGTTATGGCCTGGGCTTCCCGTCACACATAGAGTAAAAGCACAGTGCCAGTCGTGGTCATGTGTGAGGCAGCTCTGGAGCACTCGGGTAAGACCCCCGGGGCAGCAGGGGGTGGGAGGTGGCGATTTTGCGCAGCCCTCTGTCCAGGGACGGTAGGACTCTGCAGTGGCATCTCTCCGTGGCAGCCCCGAACAGTCACAGGGCTCATGAAATTCACCCCACTTGCTGGTGAGGAGATTTTGGAAGTGGGCAGTAGGTTCAGATGGGCAAGTTACTATGGTCGATCCAGCCTCTGAGCCCCACGTCAGTGATCCTGGAGTCATTACTGAGCACAGTTCAGATTTCCGCACCCCTGTGTGACCTGGAATAAATGACTTTAACTCCTTGAGCTTCTAATTCCTCATCTCTAACCAGAGACAGTAATTCCAAAGGACTCGGGTTGGCCAGACAGGCCTGGGCTCTAATCACAACTTAGTAAGGAGTGTCTCCGTTTTCTTATCTGTAAAATGGGATGGTAATGATACCTCAACTTTATTGTACTTTTTTCGGGAATAGAGCACATGCTCAACAAACGCTAGTTCTCTGCCTCCTTTTTCCCGTGAGTTCAGACTGGATTCTATGAGTACAGGTGGCAGACCATTAATAGAAAAACCACAGATGTCTCATACCACTGCGCCCGCTGAAGCGGTGTCACCTATCTCTGTGTCTGCAGGGCTCGGCTCAGAGCCGGGTGAGGGGTTTCCCAAGGCGGCCCAGCTGGTGGCCAACCCTGGCCTGTGGGGACTCCGGTTCCAGGCTGTGGAACTAGCTCCTCCCAGTGAGTCAGGTCCTTGGAGAGTCCCCGAACCTGCCAGCCTCAGGTCTGCTCCTGGCTCTGCAGGACAAAGCGAAAGTTGGTGTCGTGTCCCCTCCTCCGCCCTCCCCCTCGCCGCCCATGGTGACCAGGAAGAGCAAGGGCCCGGGCTGTTCTTGACTAAGCTGAATACCTCGTCTGCTCCCAGAGTCTGCAGGGGAAAGGAGGGAAAGCTGTCACGGGGAGACCCAAGGGCCCCTGCCATTTCCTTGTCACGTGACCTGGAACCACGGCCTCACCTCCAGCCTCTGACCTAGGGATGCCTCCCAGACAGGCTTGGGGGTATTCACTAAGGTCACAGTCGGCAAGCTGCCTGTCATGAGCTAGACACCGAAGCTGGTGGCTTCCTTGTCAGCCCTCTGCTGAGGTGGGAAGAACCCTGCGTGGAGTTGGACAGTCCTGGGTTCAAGTTATGCCTCAGCACTGGGCAAGCCCGGATTTGGGACGAGCTTGTTACTACTGTGTCTCTCGGGCTTCTCCTGGCAGCAGGGGTTTTCGGGCTCTGGAAGGTGAGCAGTACTGTCCAGATGTGAGGCCCTTTCACACTTGGGGCAGGTGAGCCCTCGTTCTTCATTGGAGTCTTGTGCTTTTGGTACTTCTGGTGGCCTTTCAGTATGATTTTAAACCTCTACACCTGGGGTACCTAATCTTTTCTGGGTCACAGGCCCTTTGGCAAGTCTCAGGAGGGGTAGGAGTTCTTTCTAGAGGAACGCATCCATCCGGATACACGCAAAGATTTGCACATAGTTTCCAGGGATTTAGGACCCCTCCTAAAGCATAACCCTGGACCCAGGTGCAGAGCTCCTGCCCTGTGGCATGGGGGTGGAGGGCACCTCTGAAATCGAGTTTGGCCAGTTAAAAACAGCCCACACTGGCTGTCTCCCCGCCCTCCACCCCCCGGGTATCACAGATTGCAAACAGACTTTGTTACTTCGATGGAAATATTTTGTGAGGCCAAGAAATAAATATTTTCCCAAGGCCACCACATGGCTCCTCTTCTGAAGGAGGCATTGGAGAGTTGGGCCGTGTGTGCATTGATAGGAAGTCTGTTTCATCCTTGGGCACCATTGGCCAAAGGCCCAGTTCCAGAAGCCTTGACTCTGTCTTCCCCAGGGAGTAAGCGGATTCCATGATCCTCACCGAGGCATGTTTAGAACGGACCCCTGATCGGGCCAGAAATCTCTTCAGTGGTGGCATTCCCACCGCTGCTGGTGTTTGTGTTGGACAAGAAAAGGATTCAGGGAGGAAGCGGCCTCACTTTACAGTTGCTGCCCTGAAAGGCAGGCACCCTGCTTCCTCCCAGGGCTTCTGATTGACTGAGCATCTGCCCTGCACACAGCTTAGAGCATCTGATCAGTGGGACCTCTGGAATCGTCCCATCCAGGGAATCATGTCGGGTTCTTTTCCCAGCTAAGGACATCTAAGGAGAAAAAAATGCCCAGAGTTCATGCTTTGCCCCAATTGATTTGAACGCCTGCTCTGAGGGTAGAAATTGACTTTGTAGAACTGCCTGTGACCCTTGCCTTGGGCCTTGGCACATGGGCTTGCTTGGGGTTGGGCACACCCCCTTCCCAGAGCTGTGCCTCAGGAGGGCCTAGGAGACCAAAGTGTGTGGGTGCTAGTCAGGCACAGGCCTCTCCCCTGCCCTGCACCATCGCCCTTCGGACCCATAGAGGTGAGCCTTAGGGGTGCCTGGGCATCCGTGGGCTTTGCTGAGCCTGAAACATGGGGTGGTATCGCTGTGAGGTTGTGGCTTAGCATGACCTCGAAGAGGTGACTCTGGTCCACCATGGATTCTTTGATCTTGGGGTGTGTGATGGGCAGCTGGAGGCTTCCACACCTCTCTCGGGACTGGATGCTTCTGGCTTGTCCACATGTCTGCCTGACCCATTTGGGGTTCAGGGGGCACTTCCTCCCAGCAGCCGGCTTTTACACTGTCTCCCCGAGCATCTGTGTCTAACGATCCCATTCTTTCTTTCTTCTCAGTGGTCGTAACCCACAAAATCCTTCGGAAGGCCAGAGGAAACCTGGAGGTAATGCCCCTTTGAGTTCTGTTATTGGAAGCCCATTTGGGGCATGGGGAATGGGCGCAGGGCAGGAAGTGACTTCTTTTGAAAAACGAAGCTGAAGGTGAAAGCAAGATGCACGTCTTCCACAAACAATTGCATTTTTCCACCAACAGCACATAAAAAGTTCCGTTTTATTATGGCATGGTTTCAGGGCTTGTTCTAATTATTACATTTGTTGGCTGTTTTTCCGAGTGAGAAATACAGCAAACAGTGCCTGTCGCATAGTAGGCATTGGATAAGCATCTCTAGAATGAATGAATACAATAGGATCTCATCTTCACTGGGTTCTGTAAATATTTACTGAGTAAACAGTGTGTCCCTGAAAGTAGTTTCAGCATAACAATTTCGCCTACTTCGGAAGCCCTCCATGGGACCTAAAATTCTCCTTTTCTCCCTCCCTTTTCCTAGCTTAGGCCCGGGGGTGCCCATCCAGGAACATCCAGTCCCAGCCGACCAGGCTCCTGAGGAGAACTTTCCAGCCAATAAAGCTTGTGGTTCCCACTGAGCTCCCGCTGTGGCTTTGTTACAAGTGTGATTTTGATTTATTGAGGGAAGAAAAGGACTGTCTGGCTGAAAGAAATCTGCTTTTCCCTTTATGTCTTCTCTCCTAAAGTCGGTTTAAGGGTTGTCGTCAGACAGCGTTTGGGTGCCCGGCAGTGAGGCTTCTAACAGGCCCCAAGCTCTCGGGCGCTGGGCGCTTTGCCTCTGGGCTGTGGCATCATTGCTGAACACACGGCGGCCTTCGTGGCCACCTTAGATTTGCTTCGTGCTCAGCCAGCTCCGCGGTGGGAGGCTCCTCACTGAACGATTCATGTCAACTTGGTGATTCAGTTACTTCGTGCAGAGCCTGGAAGCCCAGGTCCTGAACTCCAAAGCGGGACAGGCCAGGGTCTCGGGGGTGGGACGGCCCTCGGATACCTCCCAAGGTCTCTGCTAAGGTCACTCAGGTTGTCCAGAGAGGAACGTCAACGTGAGGTGTGGCCGGGCCCTGGTGCCTGCATCTGGCCTGCACTGGGCGATGTGTGGTCACATCCTGGAGCCATCCCCTGAGGGGTGCCGTTCCCAGGGAGGAGAGGTCCGAGTGAGGCCCGGAGCAGGGACTTGTCATGCAGTGTCCCCAAGATGATGGTGCTCTTTCCATTCCACTGTCCCATAACACTGCCTGGTGGTTTGCTATACCCTTGTCATTGACTTTTGTGTTTAATCATCCTCTGTCTTTGTCCTGAGCTTCCTGATGGCTGAGAAGTCAGTGGGGTAGGGCTCAGCCCCCTTTGCAGAAGCCCACAGTACCCCCACAGAGGCACTGGCAGACCGGCCCCCCCCAGCCCTGCTCTGGCAGGATGCTCTCTGCTCAGCTCTGCTCCTTCTGCCTCATGGTCCCACGCCCACCTCAGTGCCAGGGAGCAGGCGTCCGCTGAGCAGCCCATCATCGGGGAGCACAGCGAATCCTGACTCCACTTCCCTCTGTGCCCATGCCAGCCATCATTCTGGGGACTTCAGCGTCTGTGTGGGGGACTCTTCAGTTTGCTCTTCCTCTGCAATCACTCATTCTGACACTTTGCCCTTGAACCATCGCCTCCTCTCCGTCAGCTTGCTTGCTCCTTGTCCCCTCCTCTGCTTTGACCTCTTGGAGGTCCTAGTCTCTGGTCCCTTTGCCTCTTTCCCTACCCCTGGGCTTCTTGTCTTTAGTTCCTCTCCCGCCAGGTTTCTCGAATCTTGCCTCCCACATCTGAATCCCTTTTCTGCCCTCTAGCAGCCGAGGTATGGCGAGAGAGCACCATCTGCCCCAGGATGCTGCCCCGCCTGAAACAGTTTGACCCTTGGCTCCAAGCCCAAGTCCCTAACAAGGTGTACCGGGCCCTGTTCTGGCCAGTGTGACTTGTCCAAGGCCCTGATCCCTCTTGTCCTGCCAAACTCCACGCCGTATTCTTGCTGCTGCCCCCGCAGCTCCGCGGACATAAGGATGGTTTGAGGTGACTGTGAGCCAGAGGCACCGGGAGTGGGGGGCAGGCCTCTCCTGCCGGGCTCTCTGCCTCTTGGCCTTGGCCTTGGTTTCCCATGAAGTGCGGGGCTGGGGCAGGGGGTCAGTGGGGACCTGCTCTGCTTGGGTTCCTGTCATCTGAGCTTTCTTCATGAGAAATATTTGCACCGATGTACCTTATTTTAATACATGCCAGTGTGTGAAAACTCTGGTATCTGCATAAAATAACACGGCAGCCCCTTTTTCGAGAAGTTGCGCAAATGGGTTCCTCCGTGGAAGCTCCCATCTGCACGAGGTGGCTCAGCGTGGTCCCGCGGAGGCAGCAGGAGGCTTGGCGCCTCGTCCCAGGTGGCGTGCTTCCCTTACCAGTGTCTCTGCCCCTGAAATGGCAGTCCCCCCCTCTCTGCCCAGTCCCAGTTATAGTCGTGAGCCTCAAACTTTGGAACTCACTGAACAATAGGACCTTTTCCAAAAATCCATGAGTCTTCAGTGTTTCTCGGTGGCTGGCCTCAAGCAGATGTTTGAAGCACTGCTTTACGTTCACGTAGCTGATGTGCACAAATGCGCACAAGCGTGTAGGGGTGTGTGTGTGTGTGTGTCCGTGTCTTTGTGTGTGATGGAGTCAGTCGTACAGTGAGTGCTTAGAGCCCAGGCTAGGTTTGGAAGTCGGAGCTGGGTTCAGCTGAACCGGCAGCGGAAGTGGTACATATATTGTCCGGCACACGGTTACTGCCCAGCCCGTGGGCACTGAACTTGGTCATTGGCAAGGGCATGAGCTGGAAGGGTGGAGGTGATCCACCTTGGATTCTGCTACATCCCAGGTCCATCTGGTTGGTAAGCCCAGGCATGCCTGAGAGCAGGGCCCACAGAGGAGGGGGCTCTGGGAATCCGGCTGGCCATTCGCTTAGTCCCCCACAACTGTCCACGAACACAGTAACCCAAAGCAAAGTAGATTCTTGCCGCCCCATTTAGACTCGTGTAAAATGTTCCCAACCTTGGGCTAGTGGAGGCCCTCCTTCCTCTGGGGGATACAGGAGCAGCCTGGTTTGTTTGGGCTGGATGCAGGCCAAGAACAAACTGGAATAAGGACAGTTTGGACCTCGGAGAAAGCTCCATTGTCCCTGGTGAGTTAATTTTTCTAGCAGCTGAATTCAGGAGGTTGTGTCAGTTTCCCCAGCAGTGTAATTAATCACCACGTGAGCTGAGGCGCTGCACCTGAGAGCAGTAGCTGCAAGGGCTAAATATACAGAGAGGGAGCCGGAGGGGGGCCACAGGGTCTGCAGCTCACCTGGGAGTCTCCTGCTCGCCCCACCCTGGCCCACCTGTCCACCTCCCTCCCGGGCTGGTGCCTGCCTTCACAGCAGTGGCTGTGCCCTGCCTGGTCTCGTTAATCTGCAACCACCCTGCACATTTCACAAATGAGAAGATGGGGGGAGAGTCCCTTTAGTAAGTGCGGGAGCCAGGATTTGAGCCTGAGTCTGTCAAAACCTGTTCTCTGTCCTGTCCTCTGGATTATCCTGTCTCCCTAGAATGCTATCTATTCAAAAAACTGCGGCCCTTCCTTACAAACCAAAGTATTTTCACTATCTTTTCCAATAACACGTCTCTGGGTGACTGGCCCCGGAGACCCACAATTGAATTCCTCGACACAGCAGCCCCGAGAACCACTTGTAAAGGGGCTGGGCATGGAAGGAAGAATGATCTTGTTAATAAGCTCTCAGCATTATGGAGGCAGACCTGCCTGGGGGCTGCTGACCCTGCCAAATTGCCTCTTCAATCTTGGCCATATTTTAAGTCTAACTCAAAAATTCAATTATCAAAATTACTCATCCCATCTTCTGAGAAGCCCAGGACTCTGCCTTAGGGCCCAGACGTGTGTACCTCTTGCCACAGATGAAGCCTTCCCAGCTCTGTTGGCGCCAGGTGGGCTGGGTATGGGCAGATCCGGAGACCCAGGATCTTGTCCTGGCCCTCAGGGGGTCCTAGTAGGACTCGGCCTCCATTTCCTCATCTGCAAGATGATGATGCAGAAAGATAAAGATAGATAATAGCTAACCGTAAGTCCCAGACATTGGCCAAATCCCTGGGGTTTGCTTTTTCTTTATCTCAGCGAAGATTCATGCTGGAGTCACCCTTGATACCTCCTTCTTCCTCACCCTCCACATTCCCTCCACGGTCATGACCACGCTGTCTACTTTCTCTCCATTTATCTTCATCACCATCTTCGTCCAGGTGACCATCATCTCTCACCTGGATCACTTGCTGCCTTCCCAGTTGGACTCCCCACATCCAGCCCTACCTTCTCCAAATGTCCCCATATCCCAGCTAGAGGCATTCTTTAAAATGCAAAGCTGATCATATTATCTACATTTAAAATGTTGAATGCTTCCCACTGCACTTAGCATGACCTGTAGGCCCTTGGTGGACTGAGTCCTGTCCAGTCCTCATTCCCCTCCATGTGCCCACCCTCTCAGCTCCCTGTGCTGCAGCCTCATAGGGCTTCCCTCTCTCCCGCCACAGGGCCTTTGCCCATGTTCCCACCTGCCTAGCACGCTTCCATCAGCTTCCCTGGCTTCTCTTGTCTCTCTGGCCAGTTGGCTCCTACTCATGCCTCAGAGCCTCATCAGGGAATCCTTCCCCACCAGGAAGACTGTTACACATTCTCAGTGTGGTTCCCCATCACAGGCACATGGCCATTGTTGTGACTGGATTGTACGAGTGTCATTTTTTGGGTTATGCCTCTCCCCGTCGCTAGCTAGAAGGTCCGTGAGGGCACAGACCGGCGTGATTGGCTCCCCGCTCTGGCCCTAGTGCCAGTCACAGGGCAGCCAATATATTCACTCAGCAAACATTCCCAGGGCTTCTCCAGTGTCCTTTTGGAAGAAACCAGTCTGGTGGGGAGAACAGACAAGAATGCCAATAGGAAAGCCTTGTTCACGGGGGCCTGTGGGCCGGGCAGTCTTCATAACAGTATCACATGCAATCATGTGACAGCCCTGTGGGGGAGATGCTGCTTTTTCCAGAAGAGAACCTGGGTCACAGAGCGGCCCGCCCGAGGTCACATGGCCCAGAGTCCGTGCAGCTGGATTCAGATGCAGGCCAGCAGGCTGGGGAGCTCAGGCCCCACCCCCCTTAGCCACTGTGCTGCGTGTGAGCATGCTCAGCATGGTAAGTGCCAAGATGGCCCGGGGTGGCCCCGGTGTGATCCACACTGGCAGCGTCCAGAAGGTTCCTGCCACCAGATCCGAAGTCCAGCTCTATTCCTGGCTTGGTCTTCGTCTCTCCATCCTCAGCGGGAGACAGGGATTGGGAGCCGCCTCTCGCTCACCCCTCTTGGACTTCTGTCCTCCTCCCCTTCCAGCTCTGTCCATCTGACCCCAACCCTGGGGAGGCCGCTGCCCAGCCCCCGCCCAGAGGGCCGCACTGGGCAAGGTGGGCCCCTCTCCTACCTGAACATCACCTTAGTACATGCACAGTGGCAACC